ATTATTTTATTCTTTTCAAAAAATATTCTTATAATTATTCTTTTCACAAAAGATTGCATTGTCATCAGTTTCTAAGCTATCCTGAAAGTTTCAGCTTGCTAGCTAGTCGGGAAGTGAGCAAAATTTGAGTTGCAAAATTTGATCCGGACAAACAAACAGACAAGAAAGTGAGTTCATAAAAACATGGTAAAATAATAATAAAATGACTATGAACCAAATTTTTCAAAGCAGCGTAAAACCGGATAATCTGATCCAGAACCCCAAACAGTCGTCATATTTTTACCTTCCCTTCTTATTTAGTTCAAAGCTATGCGGAATCCATTAAACCAAGCCCCTTGAAAAAGTACTTCACAAATCCTTCCACCAATCGCTCAACTAATGGCATTTTATAAAAAGCATCAAGAAATACCGTAATATTAGAACACTCCGAATGAAGGGAATCAAGAACAATCAATCTCGGGAAAGCTTTCACGAACTTAAAAAAAAAAAAAGATGTTCGTAGCTACATTTTTCCACAGCAACTTCGATGTCTTTGAATACAATAATTTTTCACGCTATTAAAATTTTCGAAGCAAAAAGTCGGTGTCAGACAGTCGATTGTACAAAAATTCCAGCGAAGCATCCGTTATCAGAGTAACCACTGCATCACTATTACAAGAAAATGTTTAAAGTGGATGCATGAGCTTCTTTCAGTCACAACTCATGAATTACATGCTGAACTTAGTCACATTCAATCGAGACTCGCCTTCTTTGACCAGTATGAGCGAAATCTACTTGGAAGCAACTACGGTTTTTCAATTTACCGTATATACATTTTCGAACAAAAAATGACGAGAAAAATAAGCGCACTAATAAAAGAAAAGAATACAGACACGCTTAAAGAAATAACCGCTCCAGACATGAACACATATCATAAAATCGCTTGCCAATTTTTTCGCTCCTAACAGAAGTAAATTCACATTTCAACAAGAAAAATAAGAGTAACCAAGCGACGGCTGTCGTAACTCGAAATTACAAGAACAAAGGACTAAGAGAATTCTCTGGCTATGTCGCTGCTATTGTACCTTACTAAAAACCATTCATGGGGGATCACAAATTTATGACGACTGAAAGCAAAGCAAAAGAAAGTCCATTTCCTCACCTTACGAGCAAGTTTTGCTCCAGCATATCGATGTATTTTCAGGTCTAGCGAAAGCGCATCGAAACGAAAACACCACAAAGAAGACTTGTCCACGGCTAAAAATCCACCATTAAAAGGAGCAGCGTACTTCAAAGGACCTTCAATATAGTCCTTCACATTGCACTCCAAAAATGATTCTTTCAACTTCAATGGACAAGCCAGAAGATTTCCTTCGACGGTCAACGCAGCTAGGTACACTTCATTCTTGCCTGTGAATAAATTCAGAGTCTGAAGACCCCAGCTCCTGGATTTCAAATGTCATTATTGTCACTTATTCATCTTCTAGATTGTAAAGGTTTAACATCGTTATTAAGTAAATTTGATAGAGTTAGAATAGCTTCAGGTAGACGCCGTAGACCGAGTTGGTTTTTGTCACGTACAATACAGTAATTGATACAAGCGACATCTTTCGGAATTTCTAAAAATCAAGTTCAATCGAGACATTCCACTAATACAGTGTTCGTCTTGCGTGCGCTTCCGTCACATCGAAAGAAAACCAAGAATGAAGCACCTCGTTTTCCATCAAATCAAAATTTACAGAGACTTTAATACTGTACTTTTATTCTCGATTAATGGAAAAAGAGTTTTAAAAAACTTACCCGACAGAAAAGCTTGACATTCCAAGATTTCGCCAGCGACGGTGAAAAAATGCAAATGCTTCAATGCGTATCCATCGGTTAGTTCGTAAACATGTAGCGATCCTTGGCCAAATTGCACCATTGCGAGCACAGAGTCTCTCACTCGCAAACACTCGAGCCTCGTCTCCGCAATGTTTTCGACGGGTATTGCTATCGAGTGAAACCCATACTGGGTTCCTCGTAAGAATGAACCCAACGATGTCCAAGCAAGAGTAGGGACACCGTCAACATAAACCAAATAGTAGACGCTCCTTTGAATCACCTTCAATTTTTCTGGGAAATGCCAACCTTTGGGTGTCCGCATTTTTTCGGCATGGCTGAAAATTTGAAGAAAATAACTTCATTATGAACTACTTTACCTCGACACGCCAATTTTTTCAAACTGTCAATGAAAACCCCCTTCCGAAGCAATCCAACCAAACTCGATAATTCTGTATACCCTGAATGTGATTAGCACCCAGAGGATACGGAATGTTCAGAAGACACTAGTGCAATGTCGAAGAAAATCACAAAAAGGGGCGACGGATATTGAAGAGAAATAAAACGGGACACAAAAACCCGCATCCATCTTATCATATACACAGAAAATTATCCAATAACCACACAAAAATACAGGCAACAAATTCAAGAGCTCATAATTTCTTAGAACTTTTATCTATAATACAGATCACTTCGGCACCCACAAAATGTCTCAAAATTTTCATAATTGTGATGAAATGGACAACTCACATGAGGACATCGTCGAACACCCGACCTCTTTCCACGGAAAGCAAGCCTAGGAACTTTTACTTATGTATAAGTAAAAGTACTCGTGTTTGTAAATTATTTAGCATCCGAGGCGAAGGCTATTAAAACTATGCGGGTGTCTCCAACATTTGCAATAAGACGTTTTGCTTACTTTCTTGGCTCTCGTCGCGACTTTCATACACGAACACATGATCTTCACTAGGAAGTATTCGGGTCTTCTCACACATCTGAAAAAGGAGTGCTTCAAATAATAAAACTTGATAAAAATTAGCAGAAGTCGGTAAAATTAGCAAGAACATTTTCTAAAAATGACGGCGAATGTCCGTGAAAGTTGAACCATCCAGAATGCAAAGGAAGAGAAATTATTTTCTGAATCCACTTCAAAATAGTACCTGCTTAGACAAAGTCACAATCGGAATGGAAACTGTTCCAAGAACAAATGCTCATCATTCCGAGAGAAATAAAACCACACAAAAAGCCATCACGGCCAACGGTTCCATCTTTTCTGGTACCACGACGATAAACCCCAAAAACCGCGACTGAATCATACTGGTGAAACGACATCAACGTTCGAACGGAATCCGCAGTGAATCCAACACGCAATCGCACATCTTCAGTGGATTCGAAATTATTGAAAAGGAAGCATTCACGATAAGGCACACCTCTCAAGCTAGTAGCAGTCATGGTATTCATTCGGGTTATCGTCTGCTGGGTCATATTCATCGCTGGAATCGGATTCAGAAGCATCATTCCAAACGTTGACATCAGGCTCGACGCTTGAAGAACTCGACGATGACGTAGAGTCGGAATCGGAATCACTACTAGTTGCATCAGATCCTAGCTCTGCAATGTCCACTGTTCCATTGACTGGGACATCAGAATCATCACCATTGCTCGCTGAAACACGAAAAAACTCGAATTTCATATTTTCACGAAGAACACGAACGACCCTTCACCGTTAACTTCTTGTATTCCACCATGACACTTCGGGTGAGTTCTTCACGCAGAAAATACACGTTTTAAATGAAGGCTAGACTCTCTACAACGACATTCGTACTATTTTTTTCTGGTCCCTTGAATTTCTTTGTAGGGAACCCCTATAACATGGGGAGAGAAACCTAAGGGACCAAAAAAGTATTATTGTACAGAGAAAATCGTTATAGGCGAGATCGTTGTTGAGAGTTCACCTGTAACACACACTGTCACATGCGTCTCCACAGAATAGACTGAAGGAGCAAACTTTATGCAAGTCACGCAATTCCTGAACCGTTAGAGCTTTCCGAATTTAAATGAAAAGATTATTCAATTACATTTCGAACAATGATCAAGTATTTGTTTTAATTGCATTGGTATAAACAGCACTCGTAAGAAATGCTGACGATTGAGTGGAAGTTGCCATTCGCTTCGTTTGAAAGATTTTTACGACGGTTGTCCTCGTTACGCGCAAATTCAAAAAACTGACGAGGAATAACCTAACCTTTCTTTGAGCGATATTATCGGGCTGTCTCAACATTTCAGAACTTGAAC